CAGTTTATTGTGGGCGAGGGGACGACGAGGAAAGACGAAGGGACCGTGCCACTCGTGTTCGGGTGGCACGCTTTGTGTTCTTTTTCGTAACAGCTCGCTGCTACCCTTTTCAGCATTCCTTTTCACTTTCAAATCCTTGGAATGGTTGCAAGAGCGCTCGGTTTCAAATGAATTCGATCGCAAATTTGAGTTCTGTTATCTATTTTTGTATGTAATATGCAAATACGTATGCATAGAATAATAGAAATATTATGACAAATTGTAAATAAGGAGAAAATTAAGATATAGATTATGGAGTAAAGAAATTATGAATTTTTAATACGGAGTAAAGAAATTATGAGTTTTTAATACTTAAAGATTAGGAAATTCCTATTATAAATTTGGCCTTGAAAATATTAATAGCGGATATTCAATACATTCTTGTGGATTAGGGAATTCCCGTTTTTAGTATTTTTTTGAAACTATTTAGCGGGTAGGTACTTGTATTATGCATATTGTTCTACCATATTCATGGTAATTCATTGCAAGCAAAATGTGTGACCATCATCTCAACATACAAATGAAATACGCAGCATGCAGTGTTGCGCGGTGTTGCGCAGTCGAACCGCACAAATATTTACGAACATTTTGTGAAAAGGAATGCAGAAAAACTAGACTCGAGTTGCTGGACTCTTTTTGACCGTGTGAATGCCCAGAGCGACACCAAAAGAAAATTTGAAAAAGATCAGACTCTTTTGCATCCCTGTCTGAAACGGCACTAAGCGGGCGGCAGCGATGGCCATGTTGCATGTTATGCTGCAACATACACATAGCTCTGTATGTACTACTTGTAGACTTTAGTTTTAGCAGAGATACTTGTAATATGTATTTACCAAGCTCGTTCGGACTGGATCCATGCGAGCATCTCCGGCGCTGTCTGTGCGCCTTGAGGGCTTTTGTAAATAAATATTTGTTTAACATTGCGCCAGTGCCGAAAGCGGCGAGAACAGCTGCCGATGTTATGAAAATTATGCGCCCACAATTGCCATCTTCCAGTGCTATGTGTATATTGTATTATATCAAGCGTGAGTTGCCCAATCAGCAAAATTGTGTTGAAAGGAAATGCAGCGCCGGAAAGAAGGTGCCAAAGAGTTGAGGTGCGTCCAGTTGTTTGTGTGTATTGGTTGCGAAGTATAGATTTTTGTATTCCATGTCATCGGTAAAGACCACTAAATATTACATATTTTATACTGAAAATGCTACAGAGGAAAATAAGTTAGATAATCATATAAAGATAGTACCGATGCAACCAAGCTTTCCAAAGGCCTAACTTACAAACATGAAAGGCTAGACAACAGCAACCACATCTAGACATTAATATACACTACTAGTAATATCTCAACGGTATTTCAAGATATACAAGAGCTGTCTACTATACAGAAATTATAAATTTAACGAAATTTATATTACACAAATAATAAAATTTATATAATAAAGCCTGGAAATTAAAGGCGAAACTAAGCATGTGCAAAAGCTGTAACATCCAAGAATATTCACAGAGACTTCAAAATGTGTAAAATGATCCGAAAGTCGCTCCCATTGATATTCTCACCTCCGAAACGACGTTCTACTGTTTGAAGACACTACGGTCGCAGTGAGATCCTGAATTAGAATTCACTAATGAACAAGTTTCGTAGGAGGAGTCTAAAAGGCAATAATGGACCTCAAGCCACACAGATTGTCCCGTAGAAGCGTTTGTATTCTCCAACTTAACTTTGCCAAAATCTTCCAAGCGGAAGTACTCAACCTGAATGAAACTGTGAGGTACTGCTGAACAACGAGGAATATTAATGATGCTCTTCTCTACATAATCTATAGTTTGGAGCTACAAAACAATTAAGTCAACGATTGGAGAACTAGCGACTGATACAACACTATTGGAATAATAAGGTGGGAGCTAAAAGCTGTAATAGTGGACCTGCTAAATAGGTCTTAATTATAGGTCTATTTGAGAACATATTGGAAAATTAAACCCATTACTTTAGCTTTCTCAGGTATCAATAAATCTTAGGTTTCCTTTAAAAACCTGATCTAGAATGGCTGCAGACACAAATGCTTGCGCATGTTAGAGGATTTATCGGCAGTACCAACAGTTTCTAGGTCAAATGATGAAGCCAAGCCAGGTTCATAGGTTAGGTCCATATGTGATTAATTTTGAATAATTTTGCGTTCTCTTAATTCCGTGGCCGATCATCCGTAGTATTCCGAAAAAAGGTGCCTGGCAGTGAGGCAGATTTTTCTGCTTAAAAAACCCAAAAACCCCAAAAAATAAAAAGAAATATTATAATAATAGATGGATCGATGGCTGGTAATGATTGAAGAGCTAGTCAAAATTTTAATGTTTATCAAGATATCGGCTAGGTAGATGAATTTTAAGTCGAAATAAGGTAGGTCTTGCCGGAAATCCAGTTAACCCGTTTCCACCCCTCTCCCCTTTATCTTCTCGGCCTCAGTGCGTTCGTAAATTATTTTTCCTTTCATTTTAGTTATTTTATCTTTCGCTGTCAATGGGTTTCAACATACTGAGAATTCCTTTAATTTTGTATAAATTTCAAAGGCTTCTGCACCGATCTAAACAGGCAACTGATTACCCTGTATATATTTAGATAATTCAAAACAAAATTTTTCCCATGAGGTATGTGGACTTATGGCTTATTTTGCTTATAAATCTACGCACTTGTTGTTATTGTTATGGCAATGCAGCATAAATATATTTGTTTGTAAATATGCTAAGTGGCTGGTGAACTAATTGAAAGCCCAAAGCATTCCTATATAAAATATAATGCTACACACCTCTTCTTGAAGTTTATGCTGCCTCGCGCACATATGGACCCACTCTTCACCACCTACTTCATCAGTGCAATAATTTTATGAACTCACTGCAATATGTTTAATTTTATTCGTTATGCTACGCAGCTCGAAAGCGATCAACAAGTTAACTAAAGTACACTTAAAAATACACACATACATACATACATAATTGAGTAATTATTTGTAGACGCTTGTGCGCCCCAATAGCGCTGGCCACTTGTCCGCCGTGCACAGAAATTTAATATACTTGCCACTCCAGCCTACCCATATGAAACAGCAAGAAATTTCAGTGTTATGAACTCTCTTCGCTTACCCGTCTAACTGCCGCGCACGTCTCTGGCTCCGAAATCGCCATTATTTATTTGGATATTTCGATTATTAATTTCATTTGTTTGTTTATAATTCATTTGTGATTTTTGTTGCTTTGTTTTTAATTTCGAATTTGAGCAAGCAAAAAAGCTGTCGATTCAAGCATTTTTCTAACCTCCTTTGGCTTTCGCTCAGTGATTGGCGCTATTTGTGTGCGTGTGCGTGTGTGTTTGGGTTGTTTATCATTCGTTGAAAACGGAAATCACTTGATGAATGCTCGACGCGCCTTCGATGGGATTCCGAAGATCGCAAAGTTTATGAGAAGTGCTGAAATTTAAACAAATCGTTGATTTGTTTGAAAGCTGCATTGGCTCTCATTGGAAAACATATATGGAAGTGTATACTTATTACACATACATTATATATTATATATATACTCAGATGCACATATTGTTCATAATTAATATTTGTTAATATTTATTTTGCATATGAAATCAAGAATGTTGCTGTAAACAATCGGTTAAGTTTTGAAATGTTTAAGATATAAATCAATTCGGAAGCTGAATGTTGTTCTGGATATATATGATTTACCGTGCGATTCTACATTATAAGATCAATCAGTCCGATAGGGAAATATTTTAGGTGCACATTTTGGAACCCTTTATTTTGACCTTTTCCAAAATTTTCAACTTATCAATCGGAATTATATGATAAATAATTTTTTTCACATTTTATTGCACAAAAAGACTGAAATTCATAATCAAACGGAGCAAGAATATGTCTTCTTCCAGCATATATTATTTTAAAGTCTCTTCACTGATACTGATGAAAACTGTACGAACACGCTAACCGACCTATTAGACCTTATTTATTAACACTTCTAAGAACGATTATGATATTTGAAGGTTTCTCAGTCTATTCTGTCCGAAACGATATACATATCTGAGTCCGATTGTTATGAAAACCGAAAGCTGAACTGCTTCAGAAGATGTGACATAGATTATCTTTTTCAATCCAAAACTTTCTGCTTCTAAACAAGCGACTATCGATTTTCTGGATTTACTGAGCCATAACCACGAAAGATATACTTATGAAACATCTATACTATAATATATTTCATTCATCATTAGCTTATTAGCAGTGCTCAATTATATTGTTTACATATAATTTTATACAAAACAAATTGGCGATCTGAAAAAGCTTATTATACACGTGATGTCAATCAGCTCAGCGGTTCCTAAAAGCAAAAAAAAAAGCAAGAAAACAGCAAAAAAACAAAAAAAAAAGCATAAGAATCTCCGTCCATCTGAACGATTTTAACATATTATATTATATAAGGCATGTTTCAGTTAGAGCCGGATTGACTGTTATCTTTACACTTAGCATAATGTGGTTTTATGCCAAAACTCAATGAAATCGATATACATACATCACATCAAAATAAGCTCCTGAGCCAATTAAAGTATGACAAGCTCTTAATACCACATTCCATACTCTGGCTATAAGCCTCGGTTCGGATGGCTTTCAGCGAAGTTCAGTTTTTCCGGTTTTAGCTTATTTTTGAAACGCCATTCGCTAGATTGTTCAAGTATTCGGCTGCACCCGAATCAAGTCAATAACTTACTTGTTTATTAAAAAATTTTGTTTGTTGAACTAGCAAATCGATATTTAATGAACCTAATAAAAAGTAGGCCACTTTTACAGGTCGTTGCAACTATAATTGACTTATGCTTTACATACTTTAATGTAGGCAATTACTTATAATTTCTTTATAATTATAGATATTGCCATCACAAGCGAGATACGATTGAGCAGAAAAATTCTCATCACAACTTGTTGACATGGAGTTCCCTTGGAAGTTTTGTTGGCTCGCATTAATAATACTGGTGATTTCAAGTCGTTTAGTTGATACTTTTACAAAACTAACCAATATCGAGTGCAAAACGTTGGACAAACCTTTCGCCGATTTCAAGAGTTGTCGCCTACATGTACCGAAAAGGGGAGAGATCGCATTATCCCTGCACGTGCAGCTCTTCCAGATACCGGTTAATAATGTCAGTGTAAGTGATGGCATATTGTTGAGTGTTACGGGTTAAAGTGTCGTGATTTTCGTCGCAGACTCTATATATGGTAAATGGTCAGCGTGACGCGTTGTGTTTACTTAGCCATGTCTGTATATATTGGTCTGTATATACGCGAACTCGTCCCTCAGTTATTGGACTATTGACTTGAAATTTTGCACATGTTCTTTTCTCCCCAAGAAGCTGCTCATTTGGCAGACAACTATAGCATGTAGCTAGCTGCTATACAGACTGAACGATTGCAATCAAGTTCTTGTATAGAAAATTTTTCATTTGATCAGGTATCTGCATGAAATTCATAAATTAATGTCCAAAATAGCGCTACAATCTTCGCAGAAATTGTTTAGATGGGACCGCTATAGCACATACATAGTTGCCATATTTTCTGACAGAGAGCTATAACAAATTCTTTTATGGAAAACTGGTTTATTTGGCATGGATTATTATCCAAGGCAACGCTACCATTTTCGAACATATTATTCAGAATGGATCGCAGAAATATACCTTTGCAGGACTGTATAGCTTCGGCTCATTTAAAGTTTTTTCTTGTTTTAACATTAAAATAAATTAAATGTTTTAAATTAAAATAAATAAAAAATATATATATATTATATAACAAATTATTTCTGGAATATTTTTCGATTTGTATCCTTAATTTATTATTTTTATTTCTTTTTGTAATGTTTTGTCAAGTGTAATCCTCCTGTTCTACAGGATAATTGCGAGTACATAATACTTTCAATTGTCCGCTCAATTATTATTTTTCGCAGCCTTATATAAAAATCAGCTTTCGCTAACTTTCAATATTTACCAATCCATATTTTTTCTTTTCTCTCTTTACAGATAAATCTTTCATTTTTCAAGAGAGCCAGTGGTTACCGCCCCTTTTTATACAATATTACCGCTGATTTTTGTGGTTTTATGGCGAACAGAAAGCGTTATCCTTTTCTAAATATATTCTTTGACATTCTTCTTAAGGACTCGAACATTAATCACACCTGTCCCTACAATGTATGTAAATATGTCCGCCGCTTAAATAGAAGTAAAATTTTCGTTTTTTTCCTTACAGCATGACATAATCGTCAAGAATCTAATACTGCGTGACGAAATGTTCGGACGAATACCGGTGCCAGCGGGCGAATACATGTTTAAGTTAATGGTAGGCGCCTACAATGAATGGAAAGCTGATGTGAAGGCTTACTTTTCAATAAGACTCAATAAAAAAGAACGTTGAAATGACATTTCAGTTAATTTTAATATTATATAATAGACAAATTGCTATTCGTTTAAATAGTAAACAAAGCAGAAATATCAGACAAGGATGGACCTATATCGGGTGCGGTCGAATATTTATAATCGGGACATTAATTATATAGTAAAGCATACATTTAAATTGAATTTTGAACTTGATGATAATCACTACATTGGAGCTTAAGTCGGATGGTCACTTAATTCCATTAGGGTCTTTTACAGTTACGAACCAGATAGAATTTTTTTTCTAATTAGATATTGCTATTTATATTTTTTTGATTGACGGCAATTCGGATGAGTCTTATCTATTTGAAGGCGCCGTGTAGACGAATCTATTTACGTATAAGATTATATGTTGATTAGAAGCGCCATAACTTCGAATAATATGGTTAACAAGCAAAGATTGTTAAGCTCGATTCAGATCTCCATATCCATTCAAGCCTTATAAAAATAAATGTCAAAAATTTTTTTCATGTAAAATTCGCTACCCTGCACTGATATATACGATAAAAGACCGTGTAAAATTCTTTCACAAGTTATAACGGTATCAAAACTTCGACTGTAACCGAACGTGGCAACCCTTACTTCTTTAGTTAAAATCTTTTATTGTTGAAACCGCAAATCGATATTTAATTAAACTAAAAATAATAAATGCTCAGTTCGTTACAACTATAATTAATTTTTTATAGCCTTTTAATTTCTCGACAATTTTTGATATTTGCCACACAAGTTGAGCAGATAAATACTCAACCCAACTGGTTGAAATGGAGATGCCTTGGAAATTTTGTTGGCTTGCGTTACTATCACTGGTGATTTCTAGTCGTTTGGTTGATACTTTTACAAAATTAACCAATATCAAGTGCAAAACGTTGGACAAACCTTTCTCCGATTTCAAGAGTTGTCGCCTACATGTGCCGAAAAGGGGAGAGATCGCATTATCCCTGCACGTGCAGCTCTTCCAGATACCGGTTAATAATGTCAGTGTAAGTGATGCGATATTGTTGAGTGTTACGGGTTAAAAAATTAATTTAGTTATGCAAAATACGCTGCAATTGCTTGTATTGAGACATCTTCCTACGTATTTCGTTTACTCTCTTTGCAGGTAAATCTTTCATTTTTCAAGAAAGCCAGTGGTTACCGCCCTTTTTTATACAATGTTAGTGTCGATTTTTGTGGTTTTATGGCGAACAAGAAGCGTCATCCTTTTCTGAATGTTTTCTATGGTTTTCTTATGAAGGACTCGAACATTAATCACACCTGTCCCTACAATGTAAATACGTTAGACGTTTTTAAAAAAATCAAATTTGAATTTTTTTCATTACAGCACGACATAATCGTAAAAAATTTAATATTACGCGACGAAATGTTTAGCCGAATGCCGGTGCCAGCAGGCGAGTACATGTTCAAGTTAATGGTGGCCGCCTACAATGATTGGAAAGCAGACGTAAAGGTCTACTTTAACAAAGAAGGAGACTAAAGTGATATAGTGAAAATGAGGACTTGATGAATAAGTGTTCTATAAAAAAGTCTATACATACATACTTAAATGAATCCATAGTAAAATTATTTTCAGTTTCAAGGTCAGTACTAGAATAACCCTTAAATTTTCAGATTTAATCTTTCCTGCTTTAAAATTTATGCGCTGAAATAGGTTTGAATTTGTTTCAAAATGTTGAATTAAATTTTTCAAAAATATGTTAACCTATCTCAAAAATAGTTCCAATAGAAGTATTGATAAAGCCTTCCTCTTGTGCGAGTTCTACTGAAGAACTGGAAAGAGGTTTGATACTTAACTGTTCGAGAACGCTGCTTGAAAAGAAAGATAATTTTTATGGAATGGAACATTTTACGCATAAAGAACTGCAAAGCTAATGAGCTTATAACTAGGATACATTTGTTTCAGTACTATCAGACTGCGAACGAGTCAGCATACCGATGGTTTTCAGTAGTTTATTACTGGGCAGCTGAAAATCGGCCTCGGCAATATAAAAATTTTACCACATGTTAATTATCGAAGTATTATTTATAGCTATTATCTCAGCTCCGACTGTTCAACTTTTGCGAGACTTATTGGAAAACCAAGCATGTCACACCTTTAGGGATTTAAGCGAACTAGATGCAGTAAAACTAAGGGTTTTTTGAGGGTTTAGGGGCATCTTTAGGAGTTTCTGGCATCACAAAGCACATACCTTGTCAGTCTCGGCTGTTAAAACCTAACTTAAAATCTTATATAAGCATTTCACTTATCACTGCAATAGTGTAATAAATAATTACAGCTCTTAACTATCGGTGCGAGTCAAGCGGGAAAGTTAAAAATACCATGCATTAAAAACAATAAAAAACGAAAAATTAGACGCACTACAAATTAGCACAACTATAAAAGTAATAACACAACGGGGGCAATAGAGCGATCGAAATAAATTCATATATGTATATACACATAAGAATCCATTGTATGTATGTAGCTTGGATGCATCCATGTAAGTACAGTGAAACCAGGTTTAAACTTCTTTAGACATTACTCTAAATGTTGGCACTTTATTATCAAATATAAAACATAGCATAGTACAGTTAGGCTTGGAAGGTAGAAAGTATTACCTATCACAAACGGGATGCTAGCCGTAAGTGAAATATACATATGTACAATACATACTTAGTGAGGTCTTTTATATGTAGGTGAACAAGTTTATTGGTTGCGCTCTATTTATTCGAACTTTTGAAAAATTCTTAAAAGAAACTGAAGGTAGAATGTATTTCGACAAATACAAATATTATTGAAAAAAACTAAAAGTTTAGTTTAAATATAATTTTAGCATAACAAAATATGTATGGTAAAGGCAAAAACAATAATTTTTTGAAATTTGAATCTAAAAATAAAAATATTTCAAAGATTTATATGCTTTTTTCATTTTCAAAAATTTTTCAACATTAATTTTTTTTCAATTTTGAAAGTTTTTATTTGCGCTTTCTACCATTTTTAAAGTAATGGATTTTTTCGAATAATATTGCTATTTTTTTTAGGAATGTCTTAAAAAATTTTCAAATTTCTGTGATCAAGTTTTTGTTCGTTTACGAAATTTTTTCTATATTAAAGTTTCTTTCTTATTTACTATACATCTTTTTATACTCTCGCAACCTGTTGCTACAGAGTATAATAGTTTTGTTCACCTAACGGTTGTTTGTATCATATATATAAATGATCAGGATGAAGAGACGAGTTGAAATCCGGGTGACTGTCTGTCCGTCCGTCCGTCTGTCCGTCCGTCCGTGCAAGCTCTAACTTGAGTAAAAATTGAGATATCTTTATGAAACTTGGTAGACATGTTTCATGGTACCGTGAGACGGTTGGTATTGCAGATGGGCGTAATCGGACCACTGCCACGCCCACAAAACGCCATTAATCAAAAACAAATAACTTGCCATAACTAAGCTCCGCAATAAAATACAAGACTGTTATTTGGTACACAGGATCACATTAGGGAGGGGCATCTGCAGTTAAAATTTTTTTTAAAAAAGTGGGCGTGGTCCCGCCTCTAATAGGTTTAATGTGCATATCTCCTAAACCGCTAATGCTATAATAACAAACTTCACTGGAAGCAAATATTTTTAGCACTTCTATTGACGGTGTGAAAATAGTTGAAATCGGGTGGCAACTCCGCCCACTCCCCATATAACGGTACTGTTAAAAACTACTAAAAGCGCGATAAATCAAGCACTAAACACGCCAGAGACATTAAATTTTATCTCTGGGATGGTATGAGATGACTTTATAGGAACCGCGTTCAAAATTAGACAGTGGGCGTGGCACAGCCCACTTTTAGGTGAAAACCCATATCTTGAGATCTGCTTAACCGATTTCAACCAAATTCGGTGCATAACGTTCTTTTCATGTTTCTATGTCACAGTGCAAAAATGGGCGAAATCGGACTACAACCACGCCTATTTTCCATATGACACCATTTTAAATACCACAGTGCCTATAGTTGACCTTCTACCGAAAATATCAGTCAATCCACAAAGAAATCTCAAACGAGTATACCATTTGACTTTGCGAGAGTATAAAATGTTCGGTTACATCCGAACTTAGCCCTTCCTTACTTGTTTTTTTATATAATTGATAAAAAACTAAAAATTTCGTTATATTAAATTTTTAGCACTCTAAATTAATCTTGAAAAATATTGCAGTCAAAAAGCAATAGTTTTTATGAATTTCATTATTTTTGAAAGGTGTTTTCATTTTTCTTGTACGAAAACTTGCCCATATGCGATATTATTATTACATTTTTTAAAGGACATTTTTAGCAAAAATTTCAAACTTGCATAATCAATCTGAAAATAAATATTTTTGAGAGACATTTTTTTTCGAAATTTTTCCGTATTCGATTTTATTCATTTTCAATATTGTTTTCATTTCGAATATAATTGATAAAAAACTAATAGTTTTATTTTTATATAGTTCCAGCATGCCAAAATAATTTTGAAAATTATTAGAGTCGAGGAACAATAGTTTTTGAAAAGTGCAATCCGAATATATCGAATTTTTACAGATTTTTTAATTTTTCCGATATGAAAACTTATATTTTAGATTTTCGATTTTTTTCATTTGCGAAATTATTATTATTTTCATTAAGGAACCTTTCCAGAAGAAGAATTTCGACTTGTGTGATCGAATTGAAAATAAATATTTTTGATAGATTTGTAAGCTGTTGTTCGTCTGCGAAATTCCATATCATTTTCGATTTATTTTTAATTTTCGGAAAAAAACTCAAAATTATTTTTTTTAAACAAATTTTTTTTTGAAGTTTTTTTCGAAATAATTTTTTTTTTTACTTTTTAAAAAGAATTTTGCTATAAAATTTTCTAAGCTACGCAGTTTTTTAACATAAGAAATTCTTCTCATCCTTTTTAGTACATTGCAAGTGTATGTACAAGTTTCACGACGCTTCACTGTATTATGTAAACAAACCGAGATTAGCTGCACTCAATGAAAACTCTATGAAATAAGCACGTAAACAAAAGCGCCAATTATTGCGAGCTATTGCCAATGCAATGCGCTGCAATAAACTGCAATATTTGTACATATGTATAAATGTGTAAATGAATGTGTGTGTATGTATGTATGCACTTGCTGCAGTGTAAGTATGTATGGCGAATTTATTTGCAGTAGCCAGTAGGTAGCAGGCGCCAACAATAGTAAAATAGCAATGGAAACGCATGTAATGTACATATGTATGACTGTTTGTATGTATGGCAGTGCAAATGGGGGCCAGCGGCCAATGTGTTAGCATAATACTGTGGCGCCAGCTGCACATCATGCAATGGAGCAGTGAAAAGCGCTTATCAGTGCTAAGCGCACTTGCACTTTTCGAGCGCTAATATAGAAAATGCGATTTGTTGTTGTTGTGCTTTTGTTAGTGTAATTTGTTGTTATTATTATTAGAGTTGTTGTTATGTTTATGTCTATTGCTGCTCGTAGGCGCTTACTGCTTGTTACAAAAAAAAAAATAATATATACATTTTTTTTTTTCGATGGCAGCACTGACTCATTCGTCATCATAACGGCGGCTGATTGTGTTGTGCCGGTTGTTGATTTGGAATTTTTGCAGTCACTCATTTTGCGGTCAAGTCTCAACGATAATAAAGCATTTTAGTCATTTGCTGTTGCTTTATTTTACTTATTTTTACTGTTGTTGTTGTTGTTATTGCTGCTTATGTTGTTGCCTTAGTTTCTCGGTGCCTTCAGTGGCCAGCTGCATGCTTTTGATTTGAGTTCACAACAGTTGTTGTTGCTTGTTTGCAGCAAATTCAAATAAAATATTTATAAAAATTTATAATATATGTGTATGTATACGCGCATGAATGCGTGTGTGTGTGTGTGTGTGAAGAAATTCTCTTATGGATTTACATGCGAAAACAAGTGCGTAACAACAATGATCGCAGCTGTTCGACCGCATTTTCTTGGCACTTGCAGACAAGCGCACATACACACGCACGCATATACATGTTTTAATATTTATCATGCACACACACACACACACACTCATATGCATTGTATAATTTTTCGCAAGCACTCGCTATTTTGCTAAAATAAATTCTTTATGCTGCTTTTATTTGCCACACAGTTGACTTATATTCGATTTCAATTCATATTAAGTAGTTAATGTTTGCCGTTGTGTATGTATGTACGTGTGTATGTATGTATGTATGTATGTATGTGCGTGTATAGCAAATCGCATTCGTTATTTGCTTGCGATCGCGTCATGAATGAAATCAACATTGAAAGCAAGTTGAGCTTAAGCAGCAACAACAACCACATACCATCTTATATCATGCTTACATACACATACATACATACATATTGACATATCAAAGTCGAGTTCCATTTGCGTTTGCGCACCTGATCAAACTTTGCTCAGCCGGATGGTCAAGCGAGCGTGAAAAGTATTTTTATTTATTTGTCAAACAACAATAAGCAAA